GAAAGCTTATCTGAACAAATAAGAAAAAACTATTTATAAAAAAAACATAGTGTAGCCACGTTACAGCAGTGGAAAAATTAATGAAGCCAAGATGCCAGGACTGTTAACATTGTAGATTCTTTAGATTTCATCAAGAATCTCTAATACAAGCTTTCTCTGATTTTTTCCTACCTATAAGCCAAAGTTATCACTTTTCTTCTGCAAACAATTTAAGATGCCATTTACTCTATTTCTGTCCTGATCAGTTGGAAGCCAGAAGTAATTTGGTAGGTGGAATAAATAAATTCAGAACGGGGTTAGAAGAAAAACTTAAAAACATCATGAATCTCCTTCATGATGAAAGTCTTTCTACCTTGGCTTGTATAAGTGGGGAGGCAATTAAAAGTTCTCAGGTTTGACTCACTTCCTACAAGGAGTTTTGGGATATTGGGTTATAGAAATATTAATTTCAGAAAGTGAGTTAGGTTGATGACTTCTCTATGATATATGAAACAATGCTCTTATTATAAAATGTATGCAATAGTTTATATAACACTTTTTTTTTCACTAGAAAGCAAAACCAGCTCAAAAAGTTTGCTTTTTTTTTCTCTTTGATTAACTCTATCTCATCTTGCAGTTTCAGCATCTCAGATATCTTGGGCACATTGTGTGCATGTATAATTCCAGATTTTCTAAACAGATACTATATGGGGAATTGAATGAGGGCACGTGTAATGTTGGACGATCCAAGCTTCAGTTCAAGGACCAGTATAAAACCTCCAGGATTGAGTAGGGTGGAGAGTTGCTGTTTTCACAGGAGCAAAAGCTCTGAGGAAAATAGAGTACAATGGCCCACAGTGGATGACTCCACAGTATTCTACTACTGTGGTCATTGTCAAAAACCATGCCGATCATGCATTGCTTGTTTTAGCCATGATCAACACTGTTTTAAGATAACTTATTTTCAGCTGTCCACTATCGCCATCGACGAAAAAGGCTATATACAGTCAGCTATAAGTTTTTAGCCACGTTTGATTACAGCAATTTTGGCTTGTGTAATAATGTCTCTTCTTGATTTATTTTTTTATTTTTTTTTTTTTTTTTTTCAGAAAATACCATGTTACTGTCAAACTACTCTCATCTATGAACAATAGTTGACATATTTTGCAATGTAAGTTTGTGGAAGGAAATTGGTGAATTTCACTGAAGGCAAATAATAGGATGGCATCAGTGTGGCAAGTCAAATAGAGAAATTGCTAGGATTTTCCAGGTTAATCATCAGACAGTTAATAATATTGTCAAGAAATTTAATGAAGAAGGCCATTGCTGTTTAACCCACCAGAGGGGAAAGAGATGGATACACACCTTTCCCAAAGTGTATTAGTGTGAAAGTGAATGCAACAAATGTAGACAGTTTGAATTTGTTGACACTATTTACATTATTTGGACTGTTGTCCTCATCATTCATGAGATTATTGCCATTGTACACTCTGGCCTTCTTCAGGTGATATACGTTGGGATTTTGAACCAAGCCCTTTATTTAGTCCACTGGGGTAGATTGTTCACATTCCACATGCCATGCCTTTTCTAGATATCTCAGTTTATTATTTCCCTTTAGTAATTCAACTCTCCAAGTTTTTGTTCACCTAGGTTTGGTTTGGTTTGGTTTATTTTGTTTTACGGCATATCAACCTCAATGGGTTATTTAATGCCGACAACATTTTTAGGATAGATTCATATGAATAGAATATGTATTCTTTGGTTTAGATTGGTTTGATTTATTTTGTTTTATGGCATATCAACCTCAATGGGTTATTTAATGCCAACATTTTTTATTGCTGGTAATATTTTGTTTTGTCAAAAATCTGTTTTTGGTAATATTTTTCCTTCAAAATTGTATTGCTGGTAATAGTTAACTATTTGCCCATAGCTGGGACCCTAACAGGTGCTACCACTCTGGGTCAGGGTGGACCTGGGAACACCAGTAATTAAGAGGTGGTTCTATGCTCCTCAAAACCTCCTGATCTTCTTGCTCCTTGGGGTTTGTTTAACATCTTACCCAGGACAGGTCACCTAGGCTGTGGCCAGACAGATATTGAACTCTTTGGGTCAAGACAGTAGTCTACTTCAACCAATGCTTTTATACACTGGGCTGTGTGTCCTTGGGGTGAATATGACAATAAAGATAAGGACAACAGCCTGAACAATGTAAATGGTGTAAATAGTGACAATATGTTATCGCAGAAATATAGCCAGGTCCTGAAGAAGGCCAGAGCGTACAACTGTCGAAATGACATGAATATGACAATAAAGATGAGGAAAACAGTCCAAACAATGTAAATGGTGTTAAAAGTTACAATACCTCATCTCAGAAATATATACTGTGAATATGACAATTAAGATGAGGATGCAAATAGTTACAACCTCTCATCTCAAAAATATAGACTGACATTTGAACTTGGTTTGTCAGTTTCTCTGTCAGTGTTGATAACTATTGTACTAATCATATGACAAGTGTTACAGATAAAAATGATGAATTTGTTTAGAAATGTTTTCTCGTCATTTGTTTTCTGTTTTGATGGCCCATCATAAAAAATGCATTCAAATACAATAACCTCTCAGTTTTTCCTTTTGTTTATGACTTTCAAATACAAATTTACCATGTTGAATCTTTATTTTTCAAGAGTCATTTATCCTTTCTTTTCTCCTCTTCCCTTTCAGTCCTGCTGATAAAGACGAACCCTGTATTATTCCACTTCTCAAAGCTGGTTTTAATAAGGTAAGTAAATTGCAAGAAAATAAATCTTATTTTTGATGGTTTTTATTTGTGTGTCTGTGTGTAGTTATCAAGTGAAAAACTATCAAAATCTTTAGCTTCTGTTTGCAGACAAAAAAACATGTCTGTGTTTCTTTCAGCTAATCTATATCTTTCATCATATTGAGAAAGATTTCAGGATATGTTGTTTTAGAGAAATCAAATTAGTTTGAAGAAAAGAATTAAAATAAAAACAAGATGGTTTCAAATTAAGCTCAAAATGATAATGACAAATTAATTTACCTCAGATAGCGAAATGGGTGTTATCTAATAATAGATAATAAATCTAATATATATATCTACTAGCAGTAGAGCCCAGCGTTGCCCGGGGATGTAAGAGTAAGAGATAGATCAAGTATCAACCAGTCATGAAGACTGAAAAATAAAATTGACAAAGATTATTGTTTAAGGTTGACGGACACGGATGTCTTAATTAGTTTTTTTTTTTTTTTACAAATTGGTCAAACAAAAACATTGTTTTCAATCGTTATGAGTCTACCGATTGAATAGAATTTTATTATAAACAATTGTCTTGTAAATGGAATTTTTAAAGCATTTTGAATGTAAAAATAAAGAAAAAAGTGTGCAAGACAATAAGAAACACTACCTGCCCCCAAAAAGTGAAGTTTTGTTGAAATCGGTTGAAAAATGTAGGAAATCCAATCCCATATATATATATATATATATATATATATATATATATATATATATATATATATATATAAATAATTAAATGGGAGATAACTCTTTTTTGGAACATGGCAAAACTGTATTACCATGCAATCACGCATTTAATTTCAGTTCACACTGAATCCTACTAAGTCAACATCCATCTGCATGTATTCTTAATCAATTTCATTTTGTTAAGTTATATGTAGTACCTCTGTTGTTGCCATTTCATAATTGTTTCATATCATTTTGCATTACTAATTGTATAAATCACACACTTTAAAAGCAACAATATTCAACCAGAAGGGGCCATTTTTGCATAACAAATGAGTGACACTTTATTCAAATTAAGACCCTGTTTGTCATTAGGATTATATCACATCCCATAACAGATTGACAAGGTCAAAACAGTTAGTTTGGGACAATGTCACAGGTATGGGACATCCAGTGAGGATTGAACCCCCAGTCGTAGTAGTAATAATCAACCAGAAACTCTTCTTTTTATATAGGATTGTTCAGACTAATTTCATCTTTTTTTTTTCATTATTACAATGTTTTGACTGTGTACCTTCTATCCTTCCTCAAATGTCTACTGTATTCTGAACCATCGAATGTTATTCTCAAAGAGGGCATTCACCATGTTCTTGGGATCATCCTCTCTTGATCTCTGCACTGAACCCATTGAACTTTGCAAGAAACCTTCAATTCATTTAATGTTCTCTCCTGTTTAATGTCCTCCATAAGTTATTTATATCTATGCTGTACTGATTAACTGTGAGCAAATTCAGTCAACATATTTTTCTTCATTTCTGTTTCTTGTCTCTTATTTTGGTTTCATTGCATAAATGTTGGTGGGCTCCCCTCTCTCTCCACACATCATCAGCCAAACTTTATTTTAAAGAGTCTCCACATATAGTGTTATAGTGTTCAATTTTTTTGGGAGCAGCTGGTCTCACTCTTGTACTCAACTGCAGAGAGTGTTGTATACAAAGTTCTAGGTGATGTTTTTATTCTAATAGGCATTTTAATTTAGTGAGGTATCCTTATTGCATGGAAACACTTTTGAATACAGGAGATTAATTACTGAATATTGTTGTTCTTTCTAGCCAAATTAGATTCTTTCATAACATATCCTGAATATTTGTTATAGATAGCCATGCACTTCTTTCAAGTAGTTATTATTGAGGTTGGACCCCACTGGATGCTCAGCTATATTGGGCTTCTGCCAAATTTGGTTTAGGTTAATAAATATTTTATGTCAGTGCTAACTATTGAGATAGTTGCATGTTTGCTCACTTACAAAAAATGTTGTCAACATTGAGAACAGATAAGAGTTCTGGATGCCTGATTTTTAAGTCAAGAAGGCTGCTCAATTTGGAAGCTTGGTGCTACACAATCTTCCTTCTTACTTTGTAGTGACTATATTTATTGTAAAATCTCCAGATGTAAAAGCTATAAATATTTTTCATAACATTTTAATTTGACACATGTGGAAAATAAGCTGTTTATGTACATGATGGGATTCTTTAATGTTCTCATGGTGCACACAAAATTGATAACATCTACCAATTCTGCAGTCTCTCCCTCACTTAGCTGCATATATCACTCTCATTGTACTGCATTTCACACACTTTCTCTTTTATTCTGCTACATTCACCACTCTCTCATTTTTCTATCATCATTCTCTCATTCTTCTACACCCACCAGTCTCTCTCTCTCATTCTTCTACACTCATCAGTCTCTCTCTCTCATTCTACACTCATCAGTCTCTCTCTCTCATTCTTCTACACTCATCAGTCTCTCTCTCTCATTCTTCTACACTCATCAGTCTCTCTCTCTCATTCTTCTACACCCACCAGTCTCTCTCTCTCATTCTTCTACACCCATCAGTCTCTCTCTCTTCATTCTCTCTCTACTTCTACCCACAGTCTCTCTCTCTCTCTCATTCTTCTACACCCACCAGTCTCTCTCTTCTCATTCTTCTCTCTCATTCTTCTACCCACCAGTCTCTCTCTCTCATTCTTCTACACTCACACCCATTCTTCTCTCTCTCATCTCTCATTCTTCTACACCCACCAGTCTCTCTCTCATTCTTCTTCTCTCTTCTTCTTCACTCTCTCTCATTCCCACCAGTCTCTCTCTCTCTCATTCTTCTCAGTCTCTCTCTCTCATTCTTCTACACTCATCAGTCTCTCTCTCTCATCTTCTCTCTCTCTCTCATTCTTCTACACCATCAGTCTCTCTCTCTTCTTCTACCCACCAGTCTCTCTTCTACACTCATCAGTCTCTCTCTCTCTTCTACCTTCTTCTCTCTCTCATCAGTCTCTCTCTCTCTCTCTCTCTCTCATTCTTCTACACTCATCAGTCTCTCTCTCTCTCTCATTCTTCTACACTCATCAGTCTCTCTCTCTCTCATTCTTCTACACTCATCAGTCTCTCTCTCTCTCTCATTCTTCTACACTCATCAGTCTCTCTCACTCATTCAGTCTCTCTCTCTCTCTCTTCTATCATCTTCTCTCACTCATCATCAGTCTCTCTCTCTCTCATCATCTCTCTCTCTCACTTCCTCATCAGTCTCTCTCTCATTCTTCTACACTCATCAGTCTCTCTCTCTCTCTCATTCTTCTACACTCATCAGTCTCTCTCTCTCTCTCATTCTTCTACACTCATCTCTCACACCCACCAGTCTCTCTCTCATCATTCTCTCTCTCATCAGTCTCTCTCTCATTCTCAGTCTCTCTCTCTCACTCATCAGTCTCTCTCTCATTCTTCTACACTCATCAGTCTCTCTCTCATTCTTCTACACCCACCAGTCTCTCTCTCATTCTTCTACACCCACCAGTCTCTCTCTCATTCTTCTACACCCACCAGTCTCTCTCTCTCTCATTCTTCTACACCCACCAGTCTCTCTCTCTCATTCTTCTACACCCACCAGTCTCTCTCTCTCTCTTTCTCATCATTCTGCTACATTAACCATTCCCTCCCTCTCTCATTCAGCTACATGCCTCACTCTGTCCACCCATTTATCTCTCTCTCAGCAATGCACAATATCATTTATAATGACCTTAGGTAAAGTTAGTTTCCCTCCCGACAACTATATTTTTGCATGAATTATATTGTTGGCCACTAAACCTGATTAAATATCTTCCTTCATTTGCAATTATTTCTCATTCTGTTCATTACATCTAATTAATCAGGTAATCATCCGTTAACAAAGAAAACAATTGTTACATTGAAAATAATCTTTTTTTTTCTATTTTATTGAAGGAGATATTTTTATTTTCTTGCTTCAGTTCACTAGATTTCTTTGTGTTCCTCGCACTTACAATAAGAAGATCAAAGTTTTTTCATTTTTTTTTTTTTTTTTCTCTCTGGAATATTATATATTTAGCAGGAAAACCAGATGTGTCAGATCCAATGAATGGCTAGATAGGATTTTTGGATGTCAAAGGGATTTTCTGGAATCTGACAGCTGGATAAGAGTCAAAATGCAGGCTTGAAGGTATCTTGTCAGGGTCAAGGCAACAGAAAAAAGAAAGAAAGAAGAAAAAGATTTTTTTTTTCACTTTCTAGTTGTTTATTCATGGAAATCTATCAGTTTTGATAATAATGGCAGACCCTTGAGAATCCTAGCAAATTTCCAGTTATTTTGTATCAAAAAGTTGTGGTTCGTGATAGTTGGTACAAAATTTCATGGAATGCATTTATTTTTGTCTTAATTAAAGAACTCAGTTTACAAAAAGTGATAAACAGGAGCAAATGGTACCGATGCTTTGTAGCCATAATCATATCTGAGTTTGTTTTTTCATGACTAAATCAGAACAGAATTGATCCTATTCTCAGATAATGATATTGGAATTATTTTTTTTAACCTGTTTCAGATGAATTCTTCATATGTCTCAAAGATCTGATAATGATAAAAAATTTTCAGTTTTTTTACTGAACCTATTTTCTGGTGTGATACGGTTTTGTTTCAACTTTTAAAATACTAAGTAGCATACATGTCACCTGTTATAACGAAACTACTGCTATTATGATATGGGATGTTTAAAAACAATAACAATGAAGATAAGAGAGGAAGGAAGCTGAATGTGCCTAGCTAAGATGTTCATGCACTTTGACACATTGGAAGCTCGAGATATTAAAATTTAAAGTTAAATGTCACTGCATCTTGTGTGTTTCTCTTGATAAATACATATAACCAACATGTGTTTGTATTTCATTTCCACTCTCTATATATAATTCCATTATTTAGTTTGAGATATAAAATTCATTATATAGAATTTTTCTTTTTTTATTCTTCCATTACTTGCCATATAGAGTTTATCTATCATATTCTCCATTTCTAAGCAGTGTATGTCTTAACTGTTTGATACAGCACTTACTACTGCCAAATGCTGGCACTTTACTTGGCTAAAGAATTACTTTAGTTTTCTTAATTTTGCTTAATGAAGCTGCCAGTACTACCTTCAGTTGAAATTTATAAAACCTTTCTCTTAAAACAATTTTTCAGGAAAATAGGTTTTTCAGGTCCATTTGATCTAATCACTCTTTCTAGTATTGATGAGGGTTTTTTCCTTCTTAACCTTTTATTTGAAATAGTGTGTAATGTCAACATCTTGATTTTGGCATTATTTTCTCTTTGAGTTATATGTGCTATCCATTTTAGTTGTTGGTGCTGTTGGTAGTCCTCAATGTGGTTTCTGTTATTTGGTACAGTTCTTTGTGATTCTGTGGCACAAGTCCCCAGTGTTCAAAGAAGGATGATCTTTGCTAAAACCTTCTAGCCTTACTCAAAGCCTTTTTCACCATTGATCTTAAAAAGTAGTTATATATCTGACAGTCTAGATATTTCTGAACAGGTTTGGCACCAAAGATTCTGCAGTGTACCAACTACTGATATATACAAACCTGAAAATTGTGGTAAAATATCAGTTTATTTTTATCTATTTGTATGACAATGGCCTTGAATTTGAGACATAAAATAGGAAATTCCACTGGTTTACTGAGAAGCAATCAAGATAATCTTTAAATGGTTGTTGCAATAATCTGGATGGCTTCAGAAAAGTGTCCTCCTGGATTGATTCTAGATAGCTAATGAAGGTAGGATTTCATAGCCATTTGAAATTCAATGTTACTTGTCATCCATTTTGTGTAGATGCAATCTTATCAGGATTTACCAAAAAAATTCCTTGATGTAATGGAAATGTATTTTGTGGCTTTCTAATGCCAAAGATCCTGATTCCATAATCTATGTAATCCAGTGAAATAATTTTTTTTACAGGGCTCATTGCAGAAAGCTTTACAGTCATCTCTCTTTTGTCAAGTGTGGGAGGAAAGAGAAAATTCCTTGTAACTTCTCTATTTGGTATGTCCGTTTAGGATATAGGCAATCATGTTCAGGGCTGGTGCTAGGGTCTCACCCTCCATTTCCTGGAAACTTTGATACAGGGCCTCCTCTGTTTCAAAATTTCCCAACCTGGGGTCCACAAACCCTTGAAGGAAAATTAGGGAGAAAAGACAGTGATTTTTTTTTTTTTTTTTTTTTTTTTTTTAAATTATCAAAAATCAGGGAATTATCCAACTTAAATGAAAATTTCAGTGAATATTGGGGATTGTCTTCAAAATTTGTTTTAAAAACAGTATTTCAGTTTTCTGGAAAATTTTTTGTGTTGAAATCTTTAAACATTTTTATTTTTTAAGCAATCATTTTCTCGGTTTTATCTTTCTGAAAATATAAAAAATAGGGACTAGAAGTTTTATTTTGATTACTAGCCATGGACTTCTGGTTAGTATTACTATTAGTAAAAAAAGAAAAAATCAGAGATCCTCCTTAGTGGCTGATCTCAGAATAAAAAATGAATTTTACTGACATATATTACCCTTTGAATTGATTTAAGAGAACTGTTCTGAAAGAAAATTACAATTTAAAAAAATAAAAGCTGCTAAAATTAGCACTTCTGCCCCTCTCTCCAGTAGACATAGAGCCCCCACACAGTTGAGAAGTTCGGGGTAGTAAGTACCAGTCTGGTCGATTATTATAGTTGATTGATAATATAACTTAGGTAGAAAAAAAGTATAAAAAACAAAAAAAATGCTGCTGAAACTAACCCTTTTGAGGCTCCAACCTCGTAATACACACTGCACCAGCCATGCAGATACTTGATATATATTATTAGGTGATGACTGACAATGTAACGTCAGTTTAAAAATAATTAAAAAATGGCAGATGGCCATAAAACAGTGCTGAAAATAACTAGCAGAGGCCATAAGAGGGCACCAAAAAAAGCACCTCTGATCCCAGTCGTGGGAGTAAGATGTGCTGGCCCTGATCATGTTTCTCCACAGCTTCTTTTCTTTTGTTGCTTTCAGCAGTATTTGTTCCTTTATGAACCCTGGGACTTATTCTTCAGTCCATTGGCTCAAACTTGTCAAGTAGGTCCCTTACTGCTTTCTCTTGTTTTTCTTCACTTCAGTACACCCTGAGAGTATTAAATTTGCCAAGCCTTCTTTCTTTATGTTCTAAGAATTTCAGCTGGCTGTTTCTGATTGTTAACAACTTATGTAACTCATATTCACTGTTCAACTACTATATTAGTTTGCCTAAAGGATTTGGGCAAAATCTAACCAATTTGTGCACAAAAAAAAAACTGTTTCAAGAGGATTGTTTCTTTTGTTGATATTGTTGTTACTGTTTACTCCCTCTTTTTGTGGGTACATTTAAAATCTGTAAATGAACCATTTAATAAATTAATAGTGTTTTAACATTTTTATTATGAATTCTCAAGAAAAATATGTATAACTCTCATCTCATATGTATAGAATTGTAAAAATAGCATTTTAAAACAAAAGTAATTACCAGCGAGTATGTGGTAAGAGTGGTGCTAAAAGAAAAATCATCCTTTTGATACACAATTTTTTTTTGTTTTTTTTTTGCAGGTACATTTGGTAAACTTTGCCAGGATTTTATTTCAGAATTAAAACGAGATGTGATTTAGTGAAAGGTTTAGTGTTATTCTATTAATTATATTTATTTTAGTGAAAAATGATAATTTTTTGATAAGGCTTGGAAAAACACACACACACACACATATATATATATATATATATATATATATATATATATATATATATATTTCAGGAAGAAGAAATTATTGAATCTGTCTTCATAAACTGTTACTAAATATATCATTTTTATTATTGTCAATAATCAGTCACATCAACCTTGACCTATTACTCCAAATAGTAAAATGTGTACAAAATATCACTAAAAGACACAAAATCAAGAATTAATATTCTAATCAGCTCCTGAAGATGACAAACCCAAACATCATCAATAGTTGTCACTGTTCTCTGAGCTTTAGAATTCCTGAGAGTCTCTTTGAGGGCAAATCCAATAAACTAAGTTTTTGGTTTTTCAACAGATTTGATTATTTTCAAGTTTAATTGGGAATTTTTTAGTTCTTTGTTTTACTTTTAACATAGGTATGAAGATATAGAACTTCAACAGAAGGTAGTAAAGGAAAGCAAGAAGAAAGGACTAAATATCAATTGGTTGTCAGCAGAAGAAACAGCCTGAAATACAAACTATGAATTGGAAATACCAAAATCAAGCAAATACAAAAATTTATATATCTGAGAAGTGTTTTAGCTGATGATAGAAAATGTGACATTGAAATACAAAGGTGAATTGTAATAGTAAAAGTACTTTCCAAAAGCTAAGCAAAGTATTAAGAAGCCAGAAAATTTCATTTAAAATGAAAAAATTGCTAAACTGTTGTCCTATATGGCAGCGAATGCTGGACAATCTCCTCACAGATGAAGAAGAGACTTAAAGTAATAGAAGCATGATTCTACAGAAGGATTCTGAAAATACCATGGACTGAACATGTAACAAGAAAGTTTTATGAGAAATGGAAACAAAAAGTATGTTTATTATTAAAATAAGAAAGAGTTGAAATTTCTAGGACTCATAATGAGAAAAGAAGGTCTGGATAATGTGACATGCCCAGGTCATTAAAGGCAAGAGGGACAGAGAAAAGCAACAATTTTTTTTTTTTAATCAATTCACCC